ATTGTTCCATTATTTTATATCGGTGTGATACATTGCACATACCTTCAATTAATCTTAATTAAATCAAGTCCTCTTCAATAGTCTGTTTGTCTTATCCAAGTTTTTCAAATTCACAATATCTACTTGCATTTCGTAGACGGTGCAGATATTTTATAATTGGTTCATCAATTTCTTGTTTCATTGACATTGAATTTCGTTCTTTCTGCCACTACCAGCCTTTTTTGGGGTCTCATATTTCTTCTTATAATCTGACTTATTTTTTCAAAAGTCAGGTCTTCCAAATTTGAGGGATATGCCATGGTGGAGACTTTCATTATCGCCTCGCATCCAGCTGTAGCCAATAATAAATCCGTGATTTCATTTTTTCCTCCCTTTTCCTTGCGCAGTGGCAGAGAAACAACGAATACATGTATCCACAAAATCTGGATCTTCCAGAGACAATTGATATCCTATCGGTGACGCCATTGTTGTGATGTAGAGGTTAGCACTAATCATCTGCTAAGCTCATGTACTACTGCTTCGTTATTCTCAGTGACCACTTATATGAGTGTTCACTTGTGCTTATGCAAATTATGCATACTAATTTGCTAGTATCACTACAATAAGATTACAGACATAATAAAAGAAATATACAACAATAGTTATATACTGGAAGACCTAAAGTAGATCCATTTTCATAGTACAAGAAGCCAGGTGCTAATGAATGTGAACTCCATCGTACAGTCAGCCTAATGAGTCACATAACAAAATTTATCATCTAAATTCTAGTGGAAAGAACAATACAGAAGCAAAAGAATTTATATTTTATAGATTATGCAAAAGCATTTGATAAATATGTCACAAAGAACTGTTGGAACTGATAGTTAAGCTTAATATATTTGGGAAAGATAAAAGAATAATTCAAAAATAACACTGGGAGCAAACTGCTTACATATGGATAGAAAATTAATTCAGTGGATACACAAAAATAGAAAGGGGTTTAAGACAAGGATATGTTTTCTCACCAGATTTATTCAACCTTACAGTGAAGTAATCCTGAGAGAATTAGAAGTTTTATCAGAATTCATTATTAGCAGCCACAATCTTAACATCATTAAATGTGCAGATGGATTAGTGTTGATAACAGACATGGAAAGTAAACTACAGGAATTTTTACAGAAGGTAGTAAAGGTAAGTGAGAAGAAAGGACTAAATATCAAGTGTAAGAAGATAGAACATATTGTTGTCAGCAAAAGGAACAGCTCAAGATGCAAATTACAAATTGGAGATACCAAAATCAAGCAAGTTCAAAAATTTAAATATCTAGGAAGTTTTTTAACAGAGGATGGAAAATGCAACACTGAAATCCGAAGGCCCATTAATATAGCAAAAGATGCCTTCCAAAAGCAAATCAAAATTAGAAACAGGAAAATTTCATTAGAAACAAAAAAAAGAGTACTGAAGTGTCATGTAATATCAGTCCTCCTATATGGCAATGAATGTTTGACAATCTCATCACAGAAGAAATTTGAGACAACAGAAATGTGGTTCTACAGAAAGATGCTGGGGATACCATGGACTAGGCCCTGTTGGCGGGGCATCAGAATACACCAACTGCCCCCCCCCCTGCAGAGGGTAAAAGTCTCTCAATGGGGCTACCTGTTGGCCGTTGGTGGCGACCCATGATGCCTGGGGACGGGATCCTGGTGGTTGAGCAGGTCATGACCCAGGTATAAAGTGGTCACGACCCTGCAACACACCACTTCGGTCCTTACCTGGGCTAGATGGGCGGTCGGAGAGGCCTGATCCAATCAATCGGCTGGTCATGTCATGCCACATCACATCTAACCCATCCCAAAACAACTCCAACTTACAATTAACTTTCCCAAACCCTACACTAACTATACTAACACCTTACCCCTAAAATCTGATGGAAAGTGGTGGCTTAAGGTCAATCGGTGTGGGAACAAAAGATCTCGACATGGCAGTATACTACCTGAAGTGCCTCTGGACTTGGTCAGTGAAACTAAAGACATACGGGTGCTCGAGACCTTTCCCATATATGAGTATACTATCCATGTAGCCCTGTAGTGCCAGGGCAAATGGGTTTCCCCCCTGGCTGCTACCCAACACTGGACTCCGAGGTGGGTGGGGAGCATGGATAATGAAGAAAATTAAAATAATAAATGGCTACCAAGAAAAACTCCAAGAGACTACATAAGGATTTAGACTCCGAGGATGAAAACTATTATAAGGAAACATCTCCCCAATTCATTGTATTAGAATCAATTGAGAAAACTTCCCTAAGTACACTGTCACCTTTCCTGATTCAAAAAGTAATAACCCAAAACATCACCGCCAAAACGGTTAAAAAACTGAGAAATGGAACATTACTTGTTGAAATAGAAAACTAAAAATATGAAAATTCTCTACTAAAAATGAATCAGTTTCATAACTTGAAAGTTAAAGCCTATCCTCATGAAAGGTTAAATTTTTTTAAAGGTGTGATACACAGTAGAGAATTAAATTTATGCTCAATAGAAGAAATAAAAAAAGAATTAAAAAACCAGGGAGTAACAGAAGTGAAGAGAATCACAACTAAAATTGAAGGAAAAAATAAAAGAAACCAATATCTACATCATGACCTTCAATACACCCACAACACCAAAGAAACTAAAAATTGGCTATAATATAGAAAAAATAGAGCAGTACATCCTGAACCCCTTGAAATGTTTTAAATGCCAAAGATATGGACACCACCAGGACCGTTGTACACATCTACAGGTCTGTGGGAGATGTGGAGAACAAGACATACATATAGACTGCCAAAAAAAACTATAAGTGCATCAATTGCTAGAGAAACCATCATGCCAATTCCAGAAACTGTGAAACATGGAAGAAAGAAAAAGAAATAATTTGTTTGAAATATACAAAAAATGTAACCTACCTGGAGGCAAGACAAATGGTAGTAACCACAAAATATGCAGAAGTAGCAAAAAAAAATACCCTCAAAAATAATAAACAAAACTGCGAAAATAACATTAAAATGGAAGACATCACAAAATTACTCAAAGAGATGAGGGAACTGATGAAAAAATTAAAAAACATAAATAAAACAAAACCTGAAACCAACCCACAAATATCTGAAAATAAAAACTCAGCTACTTCAAAACCCTAAACACAACCCCAAAATGCAAACCCTTCTGAAACAACAACTACACAAAAAACAACTGGAAAAACTTCAAATCCAGCACATGAAGAAAAAGAAGAAAAAAAATTCCCTCTAGACAAACCAAAACTAAAACCCAAGATGGATAGATCACGCTCTACTTCAAAAACAAGGAATTCGACTGAAAGAAGATTTGAATCTCTGGAAACAATGGATACAGATGACTGGGCATTGAAGAACAAATCACCAAAAATCTAGAAATACGGCAAACAAAATAATCCAATGGAACATAAGAGGTATAAAAACTAACTTGGATGAACTAATACTCCTCATTTCAAATCAACTCTCTGATGTTGTTTGCTTACAGGAAACTTTCCTGAAAGAAAATGACACGATAAACATTAAAAATTACACCTTTATATAACCACATAAACAAACAGGCTGATAAAGCCTCAGGCGGTACAACTATAATCATTAATAACAAAATAGCACACAAAGAAATAAAGTTACAAACAAACATGCAAGCAATAGCAGTATCAGTAACTCTTCACAAGAAAACAACTATATGCTCCCTTTACATACCTCCTAACGATATGATAAAAGTGGAAGAACTAAAGCATCTTATCAAGCAAGTCACGTGGGAATCCGAGGAAATGATAAGGCTGACACAGCCACCAAAAATGCACATAAAGAGCCCATTGACCAAACATAAGATTACATACACAGATTTAAAAGTAGAAATACAATCATATATCCAAAATAAATGGCAAATCCACTGGAACAACTGCAATTTAAATAAATTACTAACAATAAAACCCACTCTAGGTGAATGGATACAGGGTTACAGGGAATCACGAAGGGAGGAAGTTATCCTTTCTCGACTCCGTATTGGACATACTAAAATAACTCATCTATTCCTATTTGAAAAAAAGGAACCACCATGGTGCACAGCCTGTCATGCCCCATACATTGTAAGATACATTGTAAGACACTTCATGATGGACTGTGCTGACTTTTCATCTGTACAGAAAAAGTACTACAATACAAAAACAATGAAAGAACTATTTGAACACACCAAGATAGATCATTTAATGGCATATTTAAAGAAAATAGGACTATACGACAAAATCTAATTAAAATAAAAATGTGTACAACCAATCTAATGCATACAACCATTCTAACATGTGCACCAACTTCAAAATAAATAAACTACATTAAAAAATTCAAAAACTGACTCTTAAATGACCATAATGGTTGATGGGTCGTTAAATCTAAGCCAAACCAAACCATGGACTAAACATGTGAGCAATGACAAAATCTTAGACAAAATGGAAATGAAAAATACACTTGTACTTAGCATCAGAAAGAAACAGTTGAAGTTTCTAGGGTACATAATGAAGAAAGAGAGCTTAGAAAATTTGACACTCTCAGGAAATTGAGAGCAAGAGGGACAGAAGAAAGTAGCACACAAACTACCTAATGATCTTAAATGGTTGGTAGAACAGGGATTAGGAGAGATAGCAGAAAGATAAACTTTAAAAAAGCTATGATATACGAGAAATTGTGGTGATTCATGATCACCCATGACCTGAATGGACATATATAGAAGAAAAATAAGCGCTTAACTAGCATTCATTTTTATCTTTGCAATAAATAAAGATATATGTTATAGCTATCTTCTGTACATACAAAATTTATTTATTTCTAAGTTGACTACCTTGGATGATTATACTAGTTTTTAATACATGCTCTAAGTGTAAATATAATTTGATGATAACAGGAAAAACATCAATCATTTACATAAAATTTGTGCAAATATGTAAGTGTAGTCTTTTGCTATTTTGTCTTTCAGGAAGGCACTGAGCACAATACTTTAACTCAATCATTTTCTGCAGAAAGTTGCTCAATGTCTGAGTATTATGATGCTCCTGAAGCTATTGAATCCCAAAGTGATACAACATCAGAGGTAAAGTATAATGATAATCGCCAATTTTATTCTTATCATTTGAATTTGCGATCAGGTTCCAATTTCAAATGTTTTTAATTTTTCAAAATTGTAAGTCTATTAAAGTTCACTATTCTTACAAACTATGTTTTTGAAAAATATTTTAAATAAAATATAATTTTCTATATTATTATATTATAAATGCTATGAAGATATTTGAATCCATCATTATGGGAAGCATAAGTCTTTATATGAGAAATTAGAGAAAGTTCCTTTTTAGGTTCTGTGCTAAGCTGTAATTCCAGCTCAAATTGTTACATGATTAAGATTTGTCAAAGTACATGTGAACAATTTCATTTTTTTTTTTTTTTTTGTTTGAATAATTGAACATTTTAGCATTTGTATGATCACTTTGTTTCATTCTGTATTTGTGCAGGCATCTGATGAACCCTCCAGTGAAATCTCTGATGAAGGTAATGAGACTGATTACAACAGTAAAATTAGTGGTGAGTATCAAAGAAACACATTTTAGATATATTTTGTTTAATTGTAGCTATAAACATAAAAAGATCTGTGTGAAATGATTGTGTTTAAAAGTAAACTGAATTTTAAAATATATATATATATATATATATATATATATATATAAATAAATACATTCAAGAAAAAGTATTTTTGTACATTTACAAAACAAATGTACATATTAATCTATTACCAAATGACATTAAATTTAATCTTATCCAAACTATAGCCATACATGTAAATATCCACTTTTTTATTCCAAAATTGTTGTTAGTCCTAGCATTTAAAATAGATGGCACAAAGTTTTTGATGTAATATCTTTGATGTTTTATTAGTTCATAAAAATTCAAATCTTGTCCAGGTTTTATGATTTGTGAATAATTGTTTAAAATATTTATACAAAATATTTTTAGTTTCAGAGGGAGAACTGTCTCAGACATTCCAAACAGGACGACGTTCAAAATTGCCTGTTCCTCGGCCTGATACTGGCGATGTAAGCTTGTGGAACCTGCTATGCAAAAATATTGGTAAAGATTTGACAAAGATATCTATGCCTGTAACTCTAAACGAACCACTAAGTTCATTACAAGTAAGTTTATTTGAAAAAAATGTAAATATTTATAGATATACCTATTTCAAAATTGTTGCTGTTTTTTTTGTTTTTGTTAATGCAAGTCATGTATAGAAATGATTAGTTTTGAATGGCTAATTTAAAATAATTCTGGATTATTTAAAAATGTAATAAAAAGGTGTGGTGAAAGAAATAATTGCTTATCTCACCAAACAAAATGGCTATGTATATAGTATCTGTTGAAAGCAGCGACTAAACTCCGGTTTTGTTTCTAGCTCTTTTTGAAAGAGAGCCCAGCAATTTATGCAGTTTTTTTTTTTTTTGTTTTACCAATAATGAGTATCTTAAGGGTATATAACCTCATACTTTTTGAGAGGTAGACATAATTTTTTTTTTTTGTGTGTGTGTATATGCTTGAGTGCAACCTGGTAGCTGATTTCAAGAATCATCTGACACGTATGGATTTTCAATTATTTTATAACTTTTTAAATACTAATTTTTTTGGCAGCGGCTTTGTGAGGAATTAGAGTACAGTGAATTGCTAGATAAAGCATCCGAATTTGATGATCCTCTTGAGCGAATGGTGAGTAATATATTTCTATTGTACTTATACCATTACAGTTTTGTTTTTCTTTTCTTACTCCTTATACTATGTAACAATACAGAATTAATGAAATATCAAGCTTAAATGTATTTATATTATGATTAAATATTAATAATTGTGAGGGCTGAGTGATAAGTAAAGTGCCCTACTACTAACAGTGGAGATAAAAACATGTTTGAATATGTATTTAGTAGTATATAAAGTTCAGTTAAAACATGCTTAGTATCATTTCACTGTGCAAAGGTATTGAGTAATAGAATTTAACAAAGTTTAACCTTCAGAACTGAAAAAATGGTGTGTCAAAAGAACATCACTGTATAATGTCTTGATTCCCTTTGCAATGGTTATTGTTAGTTGAGAGAATAAGCTGTAATAGCAGTGTCAAAAGAAAAAGAAATCATCCTTTTGATAGACTGTTTTTTTGCAGGTTTGAAGGTTAAACATTTCCTAGCATTCAGACTATTAATTATAGGGGACCTTACTTAGTACTCATGACTCATGATGGATGAGTGATATGTCCAATATAAAGCAATTATCATTGATAGATTTTGGAGACACTAGAAGGTTGTGTGCTGTGGAAATTCAATCATATGAAAGTAATAAAACTTTGAAAGTACACAATATATCCACAAATAAGACCAGGGATAGGTTTTGCATTAAAAAAAAATGTAATTTTGAAGAGAAATAGATTGACTTTATTTTGATATCCAGTTTCATTATTCTATCTGGACTAAAATTTGATTACCTATTGCTTACATATGAATCAAACATCTTATATTCATTCTTCATTAATGGGCATGCCAATTTTTTTTTTTATATTGAGTGAGTAGTTAATATAGTCTTTAATTTCTAATTTGAACTAGTCTTGGGTATGACAATAGACTACATTCAGGAGCAAAGCCTCTCATCAGGGATATTGGAGGTTTTAAGAAACATTGAAGCACTGCTTAATTGCTGTTGTTTCCCAGCCTACTCTGACCCAGAGTGGTAGCATCTGTTAGGATCCCAGCTATGGGCAAACTGTGAACCCCCAAATAAAAACAAAACACTATGAAAGTATAAAAATACATTTTTATAGTAAAAATACCAGCAATACATTTCTTTCATGACCTTAATCCATATCCTATAATTTCTTAATTCCAAAATATAACTTAAACAAAACTACAGCAAAAAACATGCATATCACAACCTCTAGTATTTATGTTCAGACAAACATGTATATACACAAAAGCCAAATATCAACTACTCTGTATTGAATTGTAAAAGCAGAATAACATATACTTTTATTATTTCAAAGCTCCAAAAAAAATTAAATTTCGACATTAAGGAGTTTATATTCCATTAAATCTAATTTGAACTTGATTCTTTCTTTTTTATCTTGCCAAGGTTATGATTTTTACCTTTGTCTCCTCAGATAAGGAATTACCTGATGCCGAATAAGTATGATGCTTTGTCTTACATGTAGGCAGCCATTTATAATGCAAAAAATATGCATGCACAAGTGCAATCTTTGTAATACCATTGGCTGATGAATATTCATGAGTTCAGTGTGTATTTAAGGATTTTCTTGGAGTGGTAGACAGTGAGCTTTTGAGAAAAAATTCTCATTGGCTACAATCTACAGAAGACCATGCATTCTGTGATTTTTCAGTATTGGTGTGAATTCCTTTTCTTTCTTCAGTGTTTGCATCACAGAATCTGGCCACTCATAAGAAGCTATTCTGGACAAGACAATATACAGGTTAATTCCAGAATTTAACAGCAAAGCATCTATGGCAGAGTAGGTGGAAAAAACACACAGCTGATATGTGATCTTTGTAGAGTGAAGCAGGTTGAACAAGTCTTATCTCTTTGACTGACTAGAGGAGTGTTTGCCATATATCAGCAGTTAAGCCAGAAATACAGTTCTGATGTGAACTGGATTAAGGATGCTCTGTCTACAGTGTCTGCAACAGACTCCTTTATGGCATGCAAACTTGACAGCCAGGTGAGATGATTGACATTTACTTGAGGAAAGTAACAGTTCTATTCAGAGAATACATGATTGTGGATTGGCATGCACTTTTGAGATCATACATCCTTTAGAATGGGTGTACTACCACTCAATTGGCCCAAGCTCAAGCAATTATGAAGGACAATCCGGCAGACCAGTCATGGCAGCTGTGCAACCAACCCAAAATGCAGTACTTGAATAAAATTGGAAAATTACTGTTCATTTCTAAGTCAAGAGTCACCAATTTATTGTGTCAATCCCACTTTACTTTGGGACTGACACAAATAAGAATAATACTTTATCAACATGTAATAAGTATATTTATTTACATCTAAACATGAATACAATGTTTAACATAAACACAATGTCCTTTCCTATATATATATGTTGCTTTGGAACAGGCTTGGTCTCTTCTGCTGGTGGTCAGCTTTTTCTAAACTGACATGGTTTTACTAACCAATGAGAGACCACCTAATATCATGTGACTAATCTATCTCTCTCTCTCTCTCTCTATATATATATATATATATATATATATAGGAGCAGATGAATTTTACAAACCCAATAAGTTCAAAGGTTCAGATTATATGGCAAGAGAATGTCTGAGCAGAAAATAGGGTGCATGTATGTGCTAATACCACTGTGGTACATGGCTTGGGAGTGTCTAGAAAAAAGAAGCTAGGTACAAGATATTGCTGCCCTTCATCTCAAAGACAAAATGGGAATGAGACACTATCAGTCATCTCTATGTTGACAGAATTCAGGGTAATCTATAGTGAGCACTAAGTTGTCAGTCTTGATCCAAGAAAGTGACCACAATAAATGGGAAGACACAAGCTTGCTGCAGAGTTGGTATTGGAAGCCAGAAACACCACTGGAATTGATGTACTGGTAGAGTATGCCAGGCCACTGGATTTCAATTTACTACTTGGGATCAATGCCTTGACAATGTGAGGATGTGTTTGCATAACACACAGAAGAGATGTGAAGTTCAAAGTGAGAATGCCCATCTTTGCAGCACTCCCAATGAAAGAGTTTGACCTTCACACAGAATTCAACAAGCAGCACACCACTTGATCTGCAGTGTAGAAATGGACAGTGGGTCATGAGTGTAACAAATTAACAAATAAGGTTTCTGAATACCCAGTGTCCAGTCTACTAACAGTGGAGTACAAGGTTGAACTGTAGGTACGACTAGATATCCCAAGAAAGAACTTAGCCTGTTCAAATGGCTAATACCACAAATGACTGTAATGCAAGCAAACAAAAAATGCTATGTCTAATAATGGACTTTCAGGGGTTAAATATATACATTGATGTATTTATGACTAAATCAAATGTCTGTATAGAAAAATTAATGGAATGAAAATGACAAAGATAAATGTGTCCCTCCTGGATCTCAAGAAAGCCTACTTGCAGATCAAAATTGATAAATCACTGTGGCTGTACCAGGCAGTTATTTTCAAGGGTGAAGGTATTTCTTATCCCACCTGTGGTCCAAAAGAAAAATTTGAAACAGCTTCTTTATTTTGTAGTAATTTACTTGTAATTTTGACCTCAAACAGAATTTTCTAACATGTAAAAAAAGGATACAAACTTGAATTTACTAATTGCATCAGCAAGGATTCATTTCAGGAACTAGTGTTATCATAAATCTCTACTAAAGCATCATTCAGCAATGCAATGATTCACTGAAAAACTTACCCAAGCGCCAACTGCGGAAGCGATCATTGCCCTCTTATATGTAAACTAAGAGTGAAACTGCACAGATTGAAGAAGCCTACTGCAGCACCCAAACTGCAATACAACAAACTCCTGATTGATCCTAACCTAAAAAAAAAATAGATAAACAATGTGAAAAGAAGATATGAGGCACATAATGGAAACTCGAAATGGGACGCACTAAGAGATGCTTTAGTGACATCAGCAAATGATATCATCCCAAAGGAGACAGGACACAGAAGGAGAAACGAATGGATGACTGATGATATTCTCAACATGACGGAAAGAAGACAGAAAACTCGGCCAAGATATAGAACAGGATACAGAAACTTACATAAGGAAATAAGGACCAAGAAGAATTGCTGAATGAAAAATGTGCAGAGATAGAAAGATTGAGTACTACCAACAAAAGAGACATGCACAAACAAATAAGACAACTAACAGGACAAAAGACATGCTCATCAACAGGTTGCCTAAAATCAAAGGATGGAACACTCATATTAGAAAAGGAAAAAATTCTTCTAGAACGAGTACATTGAAGAACTATTCCATGACATAAGGGATCAGCCAGCAATACACAGAACTACTGACAGACCTGGAATTCTGAAAAATGAAGTAAAAGCTACACTGGCCAAATTGAACAGAAACAAGGCAGCTGGACCAGACGGAATTGTAATGGAAATGTTGACAGTCTTAGATGACTTTGGCATAGACAAGATCACCAAAGTAACAAATGAAATCTACAACAGCTGAGATATACTGGAAGACCTCAGCAGGTCTTCATAGCTATGCCTAAGAAAACAGGTGCAAATGAACATGAACTCCACCAAACAATAAGCCTAATGAGCCACGTGACAAAACGCATCATCCATATTCTAATGAACAGAACACAGTAGAATCAGCCCAGAGATAGGACAAGAACAGTGCGTGTTCGTTAAAGGCACTGGAACAAAGAACACGATATTCATGCTCTGAATGTTATCAGAAAGAGTGATACAGATGCAGAAGGACGTGTACCTATGTTTCATAGACTATGCAAAGGCCTTCAACAAAGTACGCCACAAGGATCTGATGGAACTGCTCAGCAACCTCGATATATTCAGGAAAGATATCAGAATAATCAAAAACCTATACTCGCAGCAAACAGCATGTATGCACATAGGGAACAAGTTCAGTGAATACACAAAAATAGAAAGGTGCGTAAGGCAAGGATGTGTTGACCTGTTCAACCTATACAGCAAGGCAATCCTGAGAGAATTGGAAA